AAACCGAAACTCACTCCCTCCCTCCCTTTTTGGCCATTACAACTTATTGCAACTCCTGTGGCTACTTTTAATACACTAAATTAACTTTTTCGTGGGCCCCCTAAAACACCCCCCGAACACCCACTAAAACCACCCACTCGAAAAGCAAGAACGCGTACTTTATCTGTCGGTTATCTCGCCTTTTGTTGATTAATAGCTTTGCGGTAATTAATTCGCCATGAATGATGTGCATTTGTATGGAACGAGATAGGGAAATGGAATATGAATGGAAAGCCAAGTTCATTATTATGAAGCATCTATCATCTATGTATGTGAGTGAGTGAGTATTATGTTGGAAAAAGAGTTTGAAATTTTGTTATCTGTTCAGATATAATCTATGGTGTGTTAATTAGGTAAAAGAGTGTGATTAGTACGAATGATTAAGTGACAAGAGTTCAAAGACATCGCTTAGGATTTAAAATCATTTAAAAAGGTGTCTAAAAGTAAACAGAATTTCTTTTTGAAATACAATTTTAAGACTTTTATAAACTACATAATTTCTTATTGATTAACGGATCGGAAAAACATAAAATGTAGTGTTGGAAAAGAACTTATATACTATAATCTTCATAGGAGATTATTTGTTCTTTTAATCTTATAAACGTAGAAATAATTTAAATAAATTTAGAAGAACATTTGAAGTAAGTTCGAGTGCTAACAACATGGAGATAAAAGGTTGTTAATTTATTATCTAATAACTTTAACGTGAATCATCCAACTGTATTTAAAACTGTACATTCTATTTATTAAAAACTGAATTAGTATTAACAATTTTTATAGTCTTTAGCTTTCATATAAGTTCCTATAAAGATCTTATAATTTTCTAATAATTTTTGAGACTCTACTAAAGCCAGAAAAAAGTTATTTGTTCTCTCATAAAATTAGGCTTTTGCTTCCTCTGAATTACATTAACATTTAGTGACTTAACCCACTCTTTTCCTTAGCCCTCCCATTAACTGAGAATTATCTCATTATATCTGCACTGACAACGAGTGTGAACTTTAGAGTTCCGGCGTCGGAAGAAACTTTATGCCTCCCAACTGGTTCGGCTTTTACCAATGACTTCCGTCATCACCGGCAACACTCAAAGTGTAAATTTGCATTTGCTTCTAATTAAGAGAGGGACTAAGAAATTGCCCAGACTCAGAGCCCAGAGCCCGCATTGCAAGATCGCAGCAGCATCCTGGTAACCATCTTGGTAGCTTTGGAAACTTTGCATCTCTGCAAATGGAGGAGCACTTGCGGCAATTGCAATTTAGAATTTTCAATTATATTTATATTTTTTTATGAGGTTAGCGGCTGGGTAACGGGTAGTGGGAAATGGAAAATGGAAAACGGAAAACACCCCTTTTGGCCCGCACACACACACGGAAGCACTAGAAAACTACAAATCAAGTGCCACGCACGCAAATTTCCTTTAATTAAAACCAAACTTTTAAGAGCCCCTCGTCTGCATCTTCTTCTTCATGTTGCACCCTCCCCCACCCCCCTCTAGCCACGTTGCCCCGTTATGCTGCAGATGCATCTTCAACGTCGGTTACCCAACTGCAAACTACTCGGTCTCAACTTGAGCGGATCCAAGGCGACATCATCTCCGAGTGGAAGCCAAGGTGCGGGCCGCTTTTGTCGGTCGCCAGCCTCTGGTGATTACGGCCCAAAGTTTGCTCAGGTGAAGAAATACAATTAGCGAGTAATATAAGGACAATATTAGTGCATATGGCTGGTGGGAGATAGTTGAAAATGGTTCTGAGAAAATTCAGAAAATTAAATATAAGAAGAAAATATACTAATGAATGTATTTCTATTGCCTAAAAGAATACCTTTTGTCATAGAAATATTTAGTTATCGAAGCATTAGTTGGAACAACAAATGTTCTGCACGTACTATTATTGTAAAATATATATAAATATATTCCATTAATAAATATACTCAATAAATTAACACATTAACTATAAAGAATAAGATGCATAACTTCACTTATTGATTTCTTAAGGAAACAAAAAAATCCACCCCTTTCCTGGGTTTCTTAAAAACCGAAAGCAAAAGCCTTGGGAAAATCTCTTCTTAGCTTGATTTGAAAATTGTTCCAGGACAAACATTCATCAACAAGTAAAATTTCAATTTTTCAGCCGGAAAAGCACTTGGTGGCAGGAAAACCCCCCATCGACTTAGAAGGGGGGAGGAAAGTGGCAAAAGCCGAACTTCACCCCAAAAAAGAAGCGTACCGGATGCAGTAAAAAAGTTTTCCTAACCCATATTAAAACATATTTGCGCCAAAATATGCAGAGTGCAAGGAAGTTGCCGTAGCATATAAGCCGTATCTCTATGAAGGTGGCAGGTGGCAGAAGGACGATGGGGGCTGGCGGGGTTTTGGCAGTCAATTGCTCATTGACTTGGCTCCAAAAATTGTTGAGTGTCGAGTTCTAAGTCCTAAGCCCCAGCTAACATGCCAAAGTCAAAATGCAGTTGCATCGACAAGGCACAGAGAGAAAAGGTATACAATATAATGTAAACTTTAAAGTCAAAAGAGAATACTTTTAATAAGTAATAAGAAGAAAGTTGGTTGAAAAACGATTTATTTCTTTGGTTTACTTTCATGTTTAGTAAGTGAGTTTTAAGTTATATATTTCTCTCAGTGCACAGAATGGAGTGATGGGGTAAAGCGACAGCAAAAGTTCCCAGTTCTTCCTCTTTGGCGTCCCATTTTTTTCGGGTTTAGTTTCCAGTTAAGTTTACGTGAGCGTGGATTTCAAGCTGTGCGCGCACATAAGTTTGTGGCTTAAGCATGTGAAATTCATATGAAATTCACCTCTCTTCCCACCCCCCTTTAGGAATTCCACACACCGCCTACACCTGCATGAGGAGCATAAAATACTGGCAGGGCTAATGCATTGCCAGCAACCCTTAATAACCTTAGACATCGCAACGAAAGGGGACAAAGTTACTGGCGCAAAAAGTTTAAAATTAAACGGACTCCTTGCAGGGGGGGTTAAGGAATAAAGGAATAATAGATAGCATAAATGGAGATACTTTTTAGATACCAAAGAGGTCAAAAGATCACTAGCCGAAGGATATGTAAAGAAGTATACTTTTAAAACTTGAACTAAGACAAGAATTCAAACCTCTTCTTTTCCTGTTCTTTTTAAATAGTAAATATGGTAAATTGTACTCCTAGATTTTATATATTATCTGTTAAATATAAATATCCCAAAGAATTTCATATTAAACAAAGTATGAAATCATAAAGAATATAAATCCCTAACGTGCCTTAGCTAATTATGCTTATGTAAAGTGTTTTTTAGGCTGTAAGTCTAATGCAATATAATTTGAACAAAATTATTGAAAATTGACGGTAATTGAAATGAATTCAAACAAATTTGAGTGCTTGGTGTCGTGTTGAGTCCCCATCAAAGGAGCTCCGAGCGTTGCAACTTTGACACGCGACGAAGAGGTCGCCGCACGAGATTTCCCCTTGGAGCTCTGCAATTTCCCCGACGCAAAGGGTTTCATTAGGCATTTTACCAAAATTACTGCACATTTTCAGCAGGGGTAAAATTCTCTATGATTAGGCTTTAGAAAACTAGTGGATTATTTGTAGTGCCAGCAGAGACTTTTGGTTAAAGTCAAGTCAGCTTACTGGGATTAGCTACAACTTCCAACCGGATAATGTCATAAGTCCCCACTCTAAACAGCTCTCACTTAACCCACAAACAGGATTGTGACCCTGCTCGACTGGAAACAAATTCAATGAAAATAAAAATAAATTAGCTGCAACTAAATGAGCCAAATAAATTCATTTAGGGTTTTATGCGCTCCACTGAAGTACACCCAAAGACGCTCTCGTCTTTCACGTTCGCCCCTTCTGGCTTCCTGGCTGAAGGGGTGCTTCGAGCCAAGTTAAAGCCAACACGTATTGCCAAACTCGATTGCCGTGGGCGCCGCACCAAATGCAATTTCACTTCATTCCCCTTCCCTTCCTGAAGTCAAGATGTGTACAGCTTGCAACTCGCAGGAGAGCAGCGGAAAAATTCCCCAAAAAAGCAGGTGATTCCCCTTCGAAGAAGCACTTATCTTTCGAGCGAGCTTCGTTCACCGTGCTCCCCGTGTCAAATGGCGGACAAGTCTTTGGAATCAACGCAAAACAAATAACAAAACTACAAAAAATATATATATTTCTTTTGATTATGGCAATGGAGATTGTTTATCGATAGAAAATGCCATGAAGTAGGGTGATTTTGCATATGTTTGTAGTAGGAAAATAGAATCAATAAGTCAAGTTTTATTACAGAATTATTCATTTAAAAAATGGTAAATAAATTTAGAAGATAGACAAATTGCAAAACTTTGAATGCTACTTATTTTATTTATATTACTAAAAGATAGAACCAAAACCTTTTTCTTACTAATTAATCTATAAAAACTAATTAATAACATTACTTTTAACTTATGTTTCCTATTAAAAATTGATCCTTAAATCATTGAAACTAAAATCCCTTTACCAAAACACTTAACTGTGTCATTGGTGGTGTTATCTTGATTTGTAAAACGTGTCACTATTTTTATTTAATACAAAACATAAACACATTTAAATACTACTCAGAAAACTATAAAAATTCATAAAGCTAGACACGCACCTGGCGCCTGTTCACTGACTAAACAAAAAAAAGCAATCCGTATAAATAAACATATAAATAAAACCAAAACAAATCCAAAAACCGGATCGAAAGAGAAACGTTCGCTAAGCATTGAGGGAAGCCCAACCGTCTGGACCAGTGTCTGGCTGACAAGTTGCTTCCGAATTCGGGTAAAGAACCTCAAAGATATCAACCTCTTTTGGTGGTCAATCGATTCGTATAAATAGAGAAAGACGCAGAGGAAAGGGCTCAGTATCAAAAGCTACTTCAAACCATCCCCATCTGCTGGATTTTAGTCTTTCAACTAATTTAAATTTCATATCAAACATGAAGTTCCTAGTAAGTAAAGCCTCTCGATCAACACTTGACAGGAATTAAGGATCTTCCCATTTCAGGTGATCGTTTTTGTGGCCCTCCTTGCCTTTGCCTCTGCTCTGCCACAATTTGGAGGCTTTGGAGGCTTTGGAGGATTTGGTGGACAGCAGCAGCAGCAGCAAGAAGGATTCAGTGGAGGATTTGGAGGAGGCTTTGGCCAGCAGCAACAACAGCAGGAAGAATTCGGCGGAGGATTTGGTGGCTTCGGAGGAGGCTTCGAGCAGCAACAGCAGCAGCAGCAGGGAGGCTTCTTCTAGACTTTATTAAAGTTTTAGTTAAATAAAAGATAAAATAATATTTAAAACATATAACGATACAAGTATTTCGGATGAGACATATGTGGATTAATTTATGGGCTTAAAAAAGTAGTAGATTTGGGGGAGGTGCTCAGGTATTCCCTAACTTTCTATATCAAGACTTGAAAAGAAATCATTGGAATTCGATATCCACGTTTTAAATTCTCAATTCAAGTGATTTGGTTAGAGTGATGGTCGTTAAAGATGCTAATTTCATTTTTAGTATAGGGAGAGTACAATCTTAATTTAGCCATTAATTATCACCTATTAAAAATGAATAAAAAACTTAAATAACTCAATATGTATTCATCATTTCTCTACAAGAATTATACCCTTATATCCATTTCTCTTTTAAATACAGATTGGGTTTAAATAAATATTAGAAAATTTGTAAGGCAGCAATTCATATACGAAAACATATTTTTCCTCAAACTAGTTTAAGCTAATATTCTATGAGATAATATTACTAATTGTAGGAACCCTTATAAACATTGGCAGACGTGTAAAAAACCATTATAAAAAAGCGATTCGTTTTTATTGCAATCATTATGACTTTTATGTCATATTGCGGAAGCACTCGGCTGACTTCAATTCGGTGTGAAATGATAAATCGGTAAACAACTTAAAAGCTAAATTAGAGAATTAAAGTGACTCATCAAAAATGTGTGAATAAGTATGCGAAAAATTCGAATAATTTGATTAGAAGTATGAATCCGCCAGAGATCGTGATACTAACTGTGGAGTATTTGAGAATTAATTGATTGATTTTAAATGATTGATTTTACTTTGGATTATTGTATAAGCAACTCGATTAAAAAAACAAATATTAATATTTCTAATGTTTCATTAAAAATGCTTCCTAGGTCTTTTCTAGAGTTAAAAATATATAACACATTTCTTCTCTATTTCTTAGTGTCTAACAATTTACTATATTAATATTCAAAGCTCAACGACTTATGTAACATATTTTGTGATGCTAACAACTTGGCTTAACAAAATCACTTACATTAAATACAAGTTAGTATACAACTTTGAAACCTACAAGAAGCTTAGCAATCTATTTCAGAATTCTATAAGAAAAGGTAGAGCTACTTTATATATATTTTTTTATTTAATAACCACTGTGCAACGAAAACCTGTATTTTCACAAAGGTTGACAACCATACTCGAGGTTTCGTCAACAAAAAAATCCCCACCGAAAACAAATGTCTATGATCGACCCAAGAGGGAAGTCCACGAGGTGCTCGGCCCGTGTCCAACCAGTTTCGAGAGGCTTTAGGCCAAACAAAAAATCTGATAAATACTCACAGCCGGCATACAAAACCCTAACAGTTGGCTAAGGCAGTTCAGCGAAATAAGATTGGAAATTATTTGGAGAAATAGTAAACAAAATTTTAGATAAAAATGAAATTATTGGTGAGTTTCAATGAGAAAATGTGAAATGAAAAGCTAAATTAAAGTGAAAAATAAACTCTGCGATTACTATTAATATTACTTTGCCATTTCTCAAAGAATACAACGTAGAAATTAATAGAATTTATAGACTAAAACTAGACTCTTATTTTAGTATATTACCAAAATAAATTGTTAATATTTTCCCTTATCTTTATTTGACCCTTAGATACTCGTCTTTGTGACCCTTTTTGCCTTGGCTTCGGCTCAGTTTGGACTCTTTGGAGAGTTGGTGCGGGATGTTGAGCAATTTGGACAACAGCAGCAGCAGCAACAGCAACAGCAGCAAAGCGGATTCGGGGAGGACAACAGCAGCAGCAGCAGGAGGAAGGCGTCATCTTCCGAGGTCCTTTTGGCGGCAGTCTCGAGTTTTTCCAGGAGCAGCAGCAACAGCAGCAAGGAGGCGGTGGTCAACAGCAACAACAACAGCAGCAGGAAAATCTTTTCAACTTCTTTGGCTAAACCTTGAGCATCAAAGATCACTGAGTAAAAGTCTGAACACTCCTCTTCTTCTTCTTTCACATACAAAATAAAGCCATTATCTAAAGCCATAAAACTATAATAAAAACAATGAACTCCATTATTTGTTAAGGTAACTTTTAATTAATTAACTTTAATTTCATAAATACTACAAAGCTTCAAGATGCATTGTCTTTAACCCGCAAAGGATTTCCCTAAGCAACCCTAAAATTATCCCTATAAGCTTAATTAAATCAAAAGAAATTACTTAATTGATGACGGCAGGGATCTGTGTGGAAAATTTGCCTCCTGTTTGTAAACGAATCTCACAAATGGCTTCGTGTCAAAATCGCGATGATGGCCATGGCCAAATGTTATGGGAAAAGTTTTTAAGCCAAAAATCGCAAAACTCTAATGAGTGCTATCGTTAAAATCAAAGGAGACGCGGGGAAACGGTGGAGGACTTTCGGTTTGCTTTATCCAAAAGCACCGAAACACCATCAAAGTCATTAAGCGGAAAACCCTTTTGGCTTCTTTTCCACGCATTTTCATTTCGCCTCGTAATGACTTCATCCCAGAGTCTTTGGGGTTTTTCGGTTCTGGTTTTGTTATTGGAGACAATTTCGAAAGCCACCCACCAAGAAAGCCAAGAACACCAGTACGAGGACCACGACCAGGACCAACAGTAACAACAACACTCGTAACTACAAAACAACTTTTTAATTGCAATTAAATACGTAACAAGTTTTTAGTTGTGAGTGCGACGAGCGTCCCGTGAACACACAGAGAACTTGGCCGTGTCCTTCCCCCCAAGGATGTCTCCTCCGGACTCCTCCGGAGTGTCCATTGGTGCCGCTTATTGTTGTCGTGGCTTACCCTTATCTCTCCCCTGTTATCTATCTATATATGAAATTGCCATTGCCAGTGTTTTGCCCTCTCTCTGTGTGTGTGTGTGTGTGTGTTTCTATTGCAAAATTGAGTTGTGCGCTTTGGGGTTTTAATTGTTAATTGTTGGCTCAGTTTTGCCAAACAGGGCAGGGCAGCAATTTTGACGTCAGCCAACTTGATGACAGTCGTCGGGAGCTATGTGGTTTTTGGTAAATGGGTGGGGATTTTCCCAAAGAAAAGCCCGCCTGCGGGGGATTATTCTATTCCCAAGAAAAGTGGCGACGCTGAGACTGAAATACATTGCCTCATGGCAGAAGAATACGATTTTATGGATTACGGAATCAAGTGGCAGCCCTTAATGACTTTCGGGTTAAGTGGGGGAAAAGCACATTTTGGTAGGATTTTAAGTCAAATCATCAAGTTTATTGAGGCACACGAAGCCAATCAGTATCAGTACTCAATGCAGCAAAAGGATTGTAAAATTAAGTTATAAATATTAAATTAGGAACTTGAAACTTAACTATAAAGTAATTTATTTCAATTAATTGGAGTTTTATTGTTGTTCAGTGTCGGATTTATTTAAGGAAACATGCGAAAAGTATACTATATAAAAAGATATTGGTTATAGAAGGCCTGATTAAATAATTACAGGTTTTATTTTTCTTTAATTGATTAAATTTTTAAATATTTAAGAGAGAGTTTAATATTTCTTAAATAGCTTTGGGGAAAAAGCCAGAAATTGTTAATAGAAAGTTGTACAAAGTAAGAAAATCTGCTTAGGAAATAATCCCTATTATATTTGATATTGTACTTCCAGAATATGATTTTTGAAGAGCTTATTCTAGTTTTGTAGCATTCAATATAACTTTATAAGTGTCAACAATTAACCTGATGAATTTCTGACAAATAAACCTTAAATTTGGAAGTGTTAATAGTAAAGGAAATAAGACATGAAGAACCTTCAACTATCATCCACCGAATTATTCATCATTCAATTCACAAACTATAAATATTTATGAATTAAGGAATGTTGCTCCCAAGCAACTATATTTTATTATTATGATATTATCCCACTCTCTCAGTATTCTTATATATTATATTATATCTGAACAACATACAACTTAGCCCAAGGAGCGAATGTCTTGATTTCGTTGATATGCATGCCATTTAATTTGAATGCAAATTAAAATATGATGAGGCCACTGATGTTGTCGCTTAACCATTTCACCTTCTCCCATCTAATGATCTTTTATAGGCACACTCACCCACCTGCCCGGGGGCCATCGCCACCTTGGCCAAAAATGCTGTCCAGGTAACCTTCAAGAGCCTGTTTTTTTTTCTTTTACCTGTGCTGGGATTTCTTTTCCTTTTTCGCTCACTAATTTGGCCGCAATTTACATAAAGGCCGCGCTTGGCCCCAAATGTTGTTAGCTATGGTAATTTTACATACCTCCCACTTCGCGTTGCAGAGGAAAAAGTGTAATTTCTTTTACCATTCAACTTGATTAAATTAGAGTAAGGAGGGACTGAGTACTAATGAGAGGCAGCTGCATTTTAGTGCCTGTCCGAGAATATTACCCAGTTTTCCAGGCTCCACTATCCACTATCCACTCTCCACTCTTCGTGTATATATAGTGACAGATGTATGACTTGGCATTTATAGTTTTGAGTCGCAATTTTCGGTGATTTATTTATGCATGAAATGCAAACAAAATCAGAATAATTACCAACAAAACCCAACACAACTGACAGTTGGACAGACCGCCCCCAAAACAAAGCAAGAAATATGTGCTGTGAGCCGGAGAGACATTCAACGGAGAATATTGCAATGCACACAGTCAGTCAAATAGACAGGAATACAGGCAGAAGCAGACTCTTGAGCTGTCAGATGGAAACTGTGTGGGAGGGGGGCGGAGGGGGAATATTATAATATTTGCAATCCGTAAAGAGCTGTTTTTCCTCCCCTCCCCCACCATATTTATATGGCAAGAAGTTCGCTTAACGGGGCTATATGGTTAAGTAAGCAGGATGCGGTTGGGATGTGAGTGGTAAGAAATTATTCACCAAACGTAATGAGATGAGATAGGGTTGTATTTATATAGTGGGGAAAATTATATAAATTAATACAAATATTGGTAATTTTGATACAAAATATGGTAGAAATTTTAAACAGAAAAACACTTTGGAATAGAGTGGAAAGCAATTATTGAGCAAACATAACATAACAAATGAATAAATTTAAATTAATATATCAACACAAATATCGGTAATATATTATCGAAAATATCGTATAGTTTGATATAGAAATTTAAAATAATTGAATACTCCAGAAATCACTTTAAAATTTAATGAAAAGAAATTACTTACAAACATAAAGTAAAGAAATAAGGATGTATGTAAAAAGTGGGGAAATTATATATAAACACAAATATCGGTAATATCTTTTTTTAAAAAATATCGTAAATTTTGATATAGAAATTTGAAATAATTGAATAATCCAGATAAAAGTTTTTAATTGACTGAATTGAAGTTATTCACCAAGATAAAGGAATGAGCTAAGGATAAAAGTGGGGAAAAAATTATATAACAACGCAAATATCGAAAATATCGAAGATCTTAATATATAAATTAAAAATAATTTTATATACCAAAAAACACTTTGTAATTTCAAAAATTTTAAAATTTTGATTTAAAAATTAAAGCATCAGAAGATTTGAATGTTGGTTGAATATAAATAAATCTTAAAGCATCTTTAAAAAATCTTTGAAATTGTTTTAAAGTCTGTTCAAGCAAAATTTTTAATACTAATGTTATTGATAACAGAAAATTTTCATTTAGTTGATATATATGTTATCGTCCTAGGATATATTTAAAACATCTTTATAGTAAATAAACTTTCAAACATCTTTGTTGGTTAAGGCAGCCTAATCTTTGACTTAGTTTGATATCGCACTGTTAAAATACCGATTTCTGTATCGACAATCGGGTAAAATATGGAAACGATCCATATATACATTTTCTGGTGCCATCACTAATCTGTGATAATATTGTCTTGGAAAAATCAAAGAATTACAAGTCACTTAGACGTTTCTAAGATATTAACTAAGTATTATGATTTCTTTAATTTAAAGTACTATCTGCAAGTAGTAAAATTTGTTTCATTTCCTTTATTAATAAAGAAATTATAAATTACTTGAAAAACAACTTATAACAAGAAAGGAAACTAACTTCGGGAAGCCGAAGTTGAAATACCCTTGCATCTTGCAAATAAAGTATAGAATCGAATACTAATATAAGCAACGACTTATTCAGCATTTATGCTAATAATTTGGGCAAGAGTATATCCATATACCCGTAAAATATATAAAAAATAATATAAATAATGTAAATACAAATATCAAAAACAAAATTATTAAACGGATTTCATTTGTTCTCATTGCTATTTACAAATAACTTCCACCCACTAGGATTTACAGTCCACAACTTCCGTGATCAACTTCCCGTGAGAGAGCGCTTTTCAATTGTTTACATCTAATTTGCAGTCTACGCATGTGTATTTTAATCCGGGATAAACTTTTCGTAAGAGAGCGCTTTTCAATTGTTTACATCTAATTTTGAGACCACCCATATGTATTTTAATCCGGGATCAACTTTCCGTGAGAGAGCGCTTTTCGATAGTTTTAATCTAATATGGGATCTACTCGCATTTCGTTTTCAAGGGGAAATATCAGAGACATAAACCATAATGGTGAATCGTAAGGAACATAAAGGAGGTGGGTAGAAAATGCTCTTCACTTAATATTGCTACACAGAAATAAAATAAAGAAAAATTAAAGAGATCGTCACTCACTTTGTTATTTGTTGCTGGAATTTGTAACTGAGAAAGCACTTTTCCTCTGCCTTTTTGCAATTCTTCACTTACAGAAATTTTCACAAAAATATGCACCTTTAGAAAATCTCAACAATATTCTCTACAATATCACAAATAAATGCACCACAAAAAAATTCTAAAAAAAATTGCAAATATGCACATACCTATGTATATATGCATATATGCACGTGTTGAACCACCAAAAATAAATTGAGAAAAGAAGGCTTTTCCCTTGCTTCGCTTTTCTTCCTTCTTATTTTCCTTGTGTCGGCATTCGCCGCATGAAACAGCTTTTCCGATCGATGGAAGGA